GCAGTCCCGGCGCCGGCCTCCCCCCCCCGGACTCCAACCCGGAACTAGCCTCGGCTCCCTCGGGAAGCCGGCGCCAGGCCTGGAGTGGGCGCCTGGGCAGTGAGTGCGGGCCACGGGCTTCAGGCCGCGGACAGGGGCGCCCTCATTGTTCCCAGGGGCCCAGACCCAGTGCGCCCTTGGCAGGAGGCGGCAAGGTGGAAGGTACAGGTGTCCCGCCCCGGCTGGACCATGGCGCCCCCTCGGGACGTGGTGAAGATCGCCGTTCAGAAGCGTGACGCCATCCCGCAGCTCATCCAGCTGGACCAGGTCACCCGGCCGGGCCGGCCACCATCACCCCACTGCCCACCTCTGGGTCGCCCCCTTCCCCTCGAAACAGCTCCCCCTCCCCCGTCCCCAGGTTCTTCCCCCCTCCTGGCCCCGTGAGTGACGCCTTCACTTGCAGGCAAAGCCCCTGGCCGCTGTGCTGAAGGAGGTGTGCGACGCGTGAGTGCGGGCCTGGCCGGCCAGGGGGTGAGCAGGGCTGGCGGGAGGGGCGCCCCTTTCCCGCCTCACTAAGACTCCTCGCCCGCAGGTGGAGTCTGGCTCACTCTGAGCGCTATGCCCTGCAGTTTGCTGATGGACACAAGAGATACATCACCGAGAATGTGAGTCCCTTCTCCCCTTTAGCCCCTTCTAACTCCTGATTCCAGACCTGATTCCTCGGACCCTCATCCTCAGGGATCTCTCACTGAGTTCCAAATCCTCCCTCATTGACAACCCCAATTAACCAATCCTGAGAGCCCTTCTTGATTTCTCTCTCTTCTTTGTCTTCTCCAGAACCGCTCAGAGATCAAGAATGGCAGCATCCTGTGCCTCAGCACCGCCCCAGTAATGCCCCTCCTGGCCCCGCCCGCATTCCCTGCCCCGCTGGCTGCTATGCCTCCTTCTGTTCCCGTGCCTCTCCCTGCCCCAGGTCCCAAGGCCCCAGTCACATCCCTGCAGTGCTCCACCTAGTGGACACCCCGGTCTCCACACCTCCAGTTCCCACTTCTTACCTCCACCCAGCCTCCTCACCTTAGCTTCTGCTTCTACCCCTGCCAGGACCTTGAGGCTGAGCAGCTGTTAGGTGTGCTGCAGAGCGGGGGTCGTGAAGGACGCCGGGAAGCCCTGCAGCAGCTCGTCCTGCTGGCTCCAGACATGACCTTTGCCCAGGAGGTCATCAGCCGTGAAGGGCTTCAGAAGCTAGGCACCATCATTGAGGACGGGGATGAGTGAGCGTCGGGCTGTGGTGGGTGGTGGACATGGGGGGCTGGGGGTCCTGACTGGCCCTGCTCAGCCCCAGATACGCCCCCAGCCTAGGAGAGGAGCTGGCCCTCGCACTGCAGGCCTTCTTGGAGCTCATGGAGCACGGCGTGGTGTCCTGGGAGACGCTCAGTATCCCCTTTGTTAAGAAGGTGGGTGGGCTTTTCTAGGGACAGTGGGGTGGGGTTAGGATCTGGCCATGCATGCCGACAACCCCTACCCCTCTTACAGGTGATACGCTATGTGAACATGAACCTGATGGACGCATCTGTGCAGCCCCTGGCCCTCAGGCTGCTGGAGAGTGTGACCTTGAGCAGCCCTACCCTGGGCCAGGTGGTCAAGAGTGAGGTGCCACTGGACAGGCTGCTGGTACACCTACAGGTGTAAGTGTCTGGGGATGGGGCACAGATAAAGGGAGTGGCGCCAGAGGCTGGATGGCCGATTGAGTCCTCTTTTTGTCCCAGGATGAATCAGCAGCTGCAAACCAAGGCCATGGCACTGCTGACAGCCTTGCTGCAAGGGGCCAGCCCTGTGGACCGTAAGGTGGGTGTCCATCTGGTGGATGTCCATCTCGTGGATGGATGAGGGGCAGGAGCTGGTGAGCACTGAGCTCTACTGCGGGCCTAGGGTGGGTGCTCATGGTGAGGCTACATCATCTAAGCCCCCTTCCACCCACTCTCAGCACATGCTTGACTACCTGTGGCAGAGAAACCTTCGTCAATTCATCTATAAGGTAGGAAGCCCTGGCCAGGCAGGCCCACCCACTCCTCCTCCCCCAGTGAGCCCACGCTTACACCCCTGGACTCGCTGTCCTCCAGAGCATCATCCATAGCGCAGCACCACTGGGCGACGAGATGGCTCACCACTTGTACGTACTGCAGTCCCTTACACTGGGGCTGCTGGAGCAGCGCATGCGGACACCACTGGACCCCTACAGCCAGGTGGGTGCCTTTGGGAGACAGAGGCTGGGGGCAGCCGGAGCTTGGCCTTGAATCTGTGGTTGTGACCACCCCCAAATCATGACCCTCAGGAGCAGCGGGAGCAGCTGCAGGCCCTGCGCCAGGCTGCCTTTGAGCTGGAAGGGGAGTCTCCCAGTGCCGGGCTGAGTGCTGACCGGCGCCGTTCCCTCTGTGCCCGGGAGTTCCGCAAACTGGGCTTCACCGTGAGTGACCCGCCTCAACCCCGGGCTGCTGTTGTTCCAGAGGACTGGGGCCCTTCCTCAGCTGCCTGTCCTCGTCCCCCAGAACAGCAACCCTGCTCAGGACCTGGAGCGCGTGCCCCCTGGCCTGCTGGCCCTGGACAACATGCTCTACTTCTCCAAACATGCACCCAGTGCCTACAGCCGGGTCAGTGTTGGGGTGTGGGCAGTGCAGGATGCCTGCCTGTGATGGGTCCCCATGGGCTTAGCTGTGACTCCCTGCCCCTTTCTCTGCGCCCACCACCCCAGTTTGTGTTGGAGAACAGTAGTCGTGAGGACAAGCATGAGTGCCCCTTTGCCCGGAGCAGCATCCAGCTGACGGTGCTGCTGTGTGAGCTGCTCCGTGTCGGGGAGCCCTGTGAGTGGGATTGGGCAGTGTGACCGGGAACGGGGGACGGAAGGGCAGAGAGGGCCAGGGGCTTCACATACTTCCTCCCTGAGCCCCTCCTGCCCCCCTGCTCCAGGCTCCGAAACGGCCCAGGACTTTTCACCTATGTTCTTCAGCCAAGACCAGAGCTTCCATGAGCTCTTCTGTGTGAGCATTCAGCTTCTGAATAAGACCTGGAAGGAGATGCGGGCCACACAGGAGGACTTTGACAAGGTGGGTGGGTGGGAGCTGGAGACCTGGGCCAGGGCAGGGGGCTATGCAGGGTAGGGGTCCAGAGCTCAGACCCTGAACTGAGCCTGGGGTGGCCCCAGGTCATGCAAGTGGTCCGGGAGCAGCTGGCCCGTA